AGCAGGTCCTTAAGGGCCATTGAGACTCAGTCTGGGCTGTGGCCTTCTCACCTGATGGGCAGACAGTCGCGTCCACTTCCGCTGACAAGACTATCCAGCTTTAGGACGCAGCCTGCAGTGCTGAGAAGCAGGTCCTTAAGGGCCATTGAGACTCAGTCTGGGCTGTGGCCTTCTCACCTGACAGGCAGACAGTCGCGTCAGCTTCCGAAGACAGGACCATCCGGCTCTGGGACACGGCCTCTGGTGCTGAGAAGCATAAACATCATCTTGACATACTAGGAACTACGTTGTCATTCCCAGATAACAGCTGCCTCAAAACTGACCGCGGTTCAATTTTGGACTATGACGCTTGCAACTTATCCATTGAATGGCCAAAAAATGAAATATTCATAGATAAGAAATGGGTGATTCGCAGCGGGCAGCGCTTGATCTGGCTTCCACCAGACTTTCAGGCGACTTGTGCGGGTACCAGTGTCAATAAAGTGGTTCTTGGCCATAGATCATGGCGGCTTGACATTTTTGTGGTTGAATTAACAAATCTCATCCTGTGCTGCATACTATTTTCCCACGTGCTTCTCAGCCATCTTCCAATTTACTCTATTTTCTAATCTCTCTATAAAACGAGGGCCTGGGGCCATGGTCACTATATACTTGGTGATTCTGCCACCCTGTAATTCCAGAATATTCTAACCTGTACCAAACAACGCTGAGCAGTGGGCAGACAGGCAATTAGTGATCCCAGGCTCTCGCGCCAGCATTATTAACCATGCCAAAGCTGGTTCGCAGATCCGGACCCCAGAGGGCGTTCATTGCGCAGCGGAGCAAGCGAAGCGAGCATAGCAGAGCAATTATAATTGACCGCAGGCTGTTAGACCAAGTATTTTGATAACGAATAATGACAACTTCGCAGCCTCTGCAGGCAAACTTGGGTATTACTGATGGATAAATGAATTATTCGATTCAATCCACCATTTTCCATACCATACATATCTTTCATATCAGATTGCAAGTGAATGTCTTGACTGTACGTAAGATTTGGGGGTCATGTCGATCTAGGAATGAGGTGTATAGGCTAATCTCCTCAGCGTGACGTATGGATTGCCCAAGTCTTCGGTCACAAGTATAGGTTTGATACGAAAACTCTCATTTCACTTCAGTACCCACCTTCTGGGCACTAATCAGATCTAGTTTAGTGTCTTTTAGGTTAGGGTTTGAAAAACATTTTTTTTTAATGTTGACGGGAGAAGGACATTTCGGGTGCCTCTGGTATCGAGCGAAGCCTGGGCCACAAAATCTCCTGACGATCAATCGGTAAGGTGGAGTGATCTACCAAGCAGCAGTAGCGTGATTATCTGGATCAATTCGTCGACCTGTCTATATAAAGAACCTATGGGTTACAAAATGTCTCCCAAACTGCTAGCTTCTGCGCTCTAATTATGGCACGTTAAAGGATCGGCCAATATTATTCTCTCACGCTGAGACTCCCTTATTCTTCCGGTATAGCCTGAGTGGTCCAAAGGTCAGCATTGATGGACCACAGAGGGCTCCGAAAGCATCATGACGAGGCTTATTCATCAAGATCAAAATTATCACGGGTCTCCAGGTTCGATAAGCACAGTAAGAGGTGTATACGCTTGCCAGAGATTCACCAGTCAGAGTTAGCGAATCGATTCATTGCGCTAGAGAACCTCATGCAACCACCTGGCGTGCAGGTGCGCCAGAGACTATCTTTTCGCGGAAAGTGGAAAGATGCCTACAGGATGACTATTCTGCGAAGATGTCTTCAAAGAATTGAGAATCTTCAAGTCCAGGCCAAATTGAGAAGTAACGAACTTGACGAACTAAAGGCAGGCTGGGTGGATAGGAACTCTATTATTCCAACTTGATTTTGGGTGGAGCCAGGCATATATAGGCACCAGACTATCTCTGCAGGAATGGTTGGACTCGTCGCAACTTACGAGGGGTTTCCCTTGATTTAAGACCCAACGTCCGGGTCAGGAGATATAGCCGTACATATGTTAATTAAAGCATTTTTGTTGCTTTTTGATTTGACTTCTGTGACGTATAGCTCGGCGCTCCAATTTGCTCCATCTTACATTCGGCCTCAGCGCACTCAATCCATTTCCGAAGTTTTCAAGCCCAGCTATTAGTAGTTGGAACAATCTATTGATTTATCAATGATCGTATGACATGCTTCGTCATCCCGTCCTCGTAAACGAGGCACCGTGAAAGCAGCAAACCTCCGTTCCGCACCGTGGCAGGAGAATCTGTTTATTTCGGATATCGTCTGGTGCAGAGCAAAGGAAACGAAGGAGATTTAACAACCTCTACCATCGGATGACCGATCTACACAGTCGAATTCGCCTCTGAGCCAGCGCATCTAGACCGCAGATGTCGTGGAACAGCGAATTAGATTAGACTGGCTCATCGAAGAGGGTATTAACATTTCGGGCCTCCATTGTATGAAAGCTTCATATGTGAGTTTCGTATGTAGGAAAAAAAGCCAACACAATGACAAAGCATCCTGCTACACATCCCAGACATCCTACTCATCCCTGATGGTAACTGGAACCTTGCCCATGATACCAGATTCATTCCACTTTCCAACATCGACATTGTATCGTGGGTCCTGATCACGCAGCATGAACATATTCCTTTTTCCGGGCTCCATAGGAGCATTCCATGCTAGGGTGCAGATTCTGGCATCCTTTACGTCGTCGATGAGGTCAATTGTGCCTTGCAGCCCTTTGAAGCCTTTTTCTTCGCCACAGGAACAGACATGCCGCAACCCGCCGTTATGGCGAATAATCATGTCTTCAATGTCGTCGGTGGTTAGGGTATCATTCTGATCACCCTCCCTATAAAACTCGCCGCTACGCAATGTCAGACCAAACTGCTAGTCACTGATGATTCAGGCAGACTGGGAAGTAGATACCTTTCTATATGAGCGTTTTCGATTCGGATGTCATACTTCATGTCATCTTTAATTTCAATGTCGAGGAATTGTTGTCCTGTTGTAGATGCCATATCGATTTGATGGGTAGATCGTGATTGACACAGAGTTTCAAATAGTCAAGCTACAAGGCAATAGAGAACTTACACGCTCAGAAGAGAAGTGACTCTGCTTAGGAAGGGAACGAGCACTATATACGGATTGGATGGATGCGGAATCGATGACGGAAGTCCTCTTCTGTTTTTGTGGTACGGTGCGGGGTCCGCATCCGCCAATCTACGTCCATTATTGCATCTTTTATGAACAGAACTCCATAGGAATGTTGGTTACAAATAAAGTATGGACAGCAGATAGCTGTATTTGTGGCACTTGCGCCGAAAACATCTAATGGCAGCAGCTGTGCGTCATAGTTACGCTGACATCGCACTCCGCAGAGGACCACCATACCCAGATTGCGGCATCGTTCCAACAGTATGGGATTGTGACTGAAGTCTTTGATGAGTAAGACTTTGCTTGGGATCTGGCAAAGAGTACCATCCCTTAAGTGAGCTCTCTAAAGGTATCAATTCAGTCTCTTTTTGGGGGAGATCTCACGGGCCATGGGACCTGCTTCTCACCGGATAGTCTGGTTATGGACTTCGATGATGAGATAAGGAAAGTGGACAATGCCACATCAAATATACTACTCCCAACAATATTCGCCCTGCTTCTTTGAGAGGGAAAGGTGACTGTCGGACACCTGGCACATGCAGAGAGAATCCAGGATAATGAAACGGCAGGTACCGACGTAAGGAAGAATATCTCTAAATGTGCCCATCTCCGGCTCAAGTTGGTGACTAGTACATGCTGTAGACTGTAGTTCAAAAAGCAGGGCGCACTCGCTGCTTCACTTCTGACCTTTTTGTCCGTCTTTCTGCCTATGAAATTTGGTCTGCTGTACATTCTCCTGAAAATGCCTCGATTGGTTCCAAAAACTAAGGCACGTCATTATATAAGGAAAGGAAGTGGATAGGTTGCCTCATTTCGTTCCATCTTAAGCTGCAGACTTAGAAGGTAGAAACTGCTTGGTCTCATAGGCAAATACCGACCCGCGGGTCTACATACCGTCATGGGCTCATGGCATATAACCTTTCTATTGCAGTACCGAAAGTTGTCTAAGGGCCACTGCACTGATGGACACTGTGTGTCTTGTGACCAGTATAAACCGGCCCGATCAACAAATGCATTGTTGCGTTCCATCATATTTGGTTTTTGAAGTGAGCATTGACACATGACTCTTATATTAGAGTTAGAACAGGCCTCTGGATCACAAGGAGCTCAGAAAGCTCCCTGACAAAACAATCTGGAGCCAAATTTGTTTCCGAGCAACCGTGGTAGAGTTGTACACTTCTGGTTCGATATCACATCTCGCCTCTGGGTCAGGCCACATCCTCAACAGTATATAGTTATCTCTCCTGAGTAGTCTGCATTCCTTGATAACTGCACAAATATTGGCATTTAATAACTCGGCAATGTCCTTCCGTACTGCAGAGACAGATTCTTGAATACTGAATAAGTTATGTCTGTGACGAGAACATACAGGTTGGCAAACTCGACACCCTTTTCTACCTGCTTGTTGGCTGACATTATACGATAAATAAGCCTAAGTGCGTTTGCAATTGGAGCCATCGTTGGCGGTACATCTGCATACCGATACATCATGGCTAAATATAGGGTGCCGCAGAATATCAATCTTATGGTGAGTATACCACTGTCTTGTACAAAGCTCCTTCCACAGCTGGAAAAGGTTATATAAATCAATCGTTACCAGCAGCAGTGTGTCATGTTGGCTGGAAAGCTACCAGCTGTTTATTACGCAGGATAAGCTGACTATAGTCGTAGATGCTACAGAAGCGGCTGCTACTGCTTTCGGGGCGCGTTGCAGAACTAGAGAGACGTAGTATAAGGAAAGGTTAATGCAATGCAAATGTGACTTTTGATGCTTCTCCTTGTAGCATTCTATGCGAAAATCGCAATATAGGATTTAGCTGGCAACTGGAACCTCATAGATACTGGAAACAGGGGCCCCGTCAATTCAATTTTGTGAGTAACACATACAAATTGTCTATACTGATTTCCCGCCATAAACCAAATATGATACATGAGAAGAAATAGCAGTAGTACATCAACATAAAGCATATTGACTATCAATCCTTCTTATGCCTATCGTCCACATCCCTGTTGTGAGTCCTTACATCGTCCGAATTATACTCCTTACCCAGCTCGCCGCTCTCCGGGTTCGGTCCCTCCCTGTAGTTCTTGAGGCTGTAATACTTTTTCCCATTCGCGTCCACAACTACTGGTCGAGTCGACGTTGAGTCTTTCTCTGGTGGCGGTTGCGGAAACTTGGCATCATTCTTTGTTGTTTCTTGGACAGGCATATTTCGCGTCTGTCCAGTCTGAAACCCTCTCGGCCATACATTACTCTGCGGCTTCTGCACACCAAGTCTTTGGGACTTCCGAGGAAGCGCCAGTATAGCGTTGGGACGGGGGTAGGTTCTCAAGGAGACGAACCGCACCCGACCCTTTGGAGATATGACACGAGACAGGCTGGTTTTCGGCATAATGACAGCTGCCGTTTGATACGAGCAGGTAAACTCCCAGGTTCTATCATCAAAGCTGGCATATAGCCAGGGTATATGTATATGATATGTATATGTGGGCCCACTGTTTGGCCGGGGGTGGCAATTCCCGGGTCCGGGTGACGTAACTATTGGCAGCCCTACCAGGGCACCGAGCTGATATTCTTCCTTTGAATCTTGGTTAGAATGCTAATGTTTGTTTGCAAGTCCAGTCTGTGGATTCGGAGAATATGTACCAGAGAACACTTAAAGGCTATGAGAAGGGCTGGGACCGGTCCATGCATCCACCGCCTGACAGTAAACAATCCAGCGTTCAGCCTCGGTGTTAGATCCAACATCAACTTCTGCTCCTAATGTAGCTATAGGATTTCAATATACCATTTCTGATAGCTAACGAGTGGTGTCTGACTCGGATATCCGCCTCCCTCTTCACCCTCACCAATCAACAAACGATGCAGTCCAATCCAATCTATCATTGCTCGTCCTTTCTGGAAAAGAGGTAGTATGATTGATGACCTCTACTTCTGATATGAACTCTATCGCTTTGTATACACCCCAGTGCTCACAGCATGGTACCCCTTCCTGCCTACCTTCGCCGTCAATTCACTCCTCCACTCTTTGCCCATTGCCAACCTCTCCACCGTCTTTTCAAATGTATACTGTGGCTCCCATCCCAGCTCCCTCATCGCCTTGCTCGAATCGTACACCCGGTCAATCCGCGGCAGATGCTTCCACCCCTTCTTCTCAAACACGGCATCTAATCCCGGACACATCTCGTTGAACACCTCTGCCGGGTTACGGTTAAGCCTGTCGAGCGTGTGCGCATCATTCCTGAAGAGCGGCGGCGCGCTGATGATGTACTTCCCCCAGCGAATATCCCTGGCTTTCTTCATCGCGCAGACCGACGCCCGCACAATATCCTCAAGATCGCATCTGCGATACGCCAGCTCCAAAACCTTCAAGTTCTCATCGCCCATGGCCGCGCGGCGTCCCTCGTCGTCGTCCTCCTCAGGGAAAAAGCGGCTCGTGCGGAGGACCAGCACCGGCATGCCGCTCTGCTTCTGGATCAGCGCGCAGAGATCCTCCGCTGCGACCTTTGTCACGCCGTAGATGTTTTTGGGTTCCGGGACGACGGTTTCGTCGATCCATGCGGCGGGGAATCCCGGCTCGGGACTGAGTGCCATGCCGAATGTGCTGGTCGTGCTGAAGAAGATGAAGCTCTCAATCTGGTGGGTATGTTTGGCTGATTCTTCGAGGAGGACTAGCGTTCCGAGAATGTTCGTTGAGACAAAGTCCTCATTTTTATGGCTGCAGATGTGTGGCTTGTGTAATGTTGCAGCGTGGAGGACGTGCTTGATGGGGTGGGTCTTCAAGATGGAGGCGATGAAAGCTCGATCCGTAATAGATCCTACACTTGTGGTGGTGGAGGAAGGCAGGATATCAATGCCAAAAGGCGTGAAGCCGAGTGAAGGAAGCGAGAGCATGAGAGCAGTGCCGAGGTGGCCTGCTGAGCCGGTGACAAGGACATCATATGAAGACATTGATCTCGTAATCTGTCGGGCTGGGATAGGTATATACAATTGCACCTCCAATTGGTCTCTACAGACGTAGCAGAGTCACTAAGTTGCAGGAAGTAAACCGATTGAAATTTCGTCCGGGACTTTATATTTAATAATCATGTGATTGACTATATACAAGAACCGAGTTTAACCTCCCGTTCCATATTAACTAACTGTTGAATATCTGTGACTCATACTGCTGCTGTCGCTTCGGCTACTCGAATCGCTTATTAATCATCCATATCCTGAGACGAAACTTTTCATTCATAAAATTTACCGAACGTCGTAGGAAGGATCTGGCACTCCTTATGAACTTTAGTTATCTACCCTATATGGTCTGTATGATTCTGTATGAATTGGGTTGGGAATTATCCAGGACTCGCCGCTTACCGTCTCTGACACCTTTGGCGCCATTCAAGAGGGGACACAACACATTACGTAAATTGTCGGAACCACCCATGACTAGACAGTAGAAAAGTTGGATATGTAAATGCAGCAAAAGAGAGAAGCTGCTTCATTATATCAACCAGAGTTGCTGCAAATTTGCAATGAGAGGTTCATAGATAGCGCAGACGGAGGACTTCTAGAAGGATATCTTGATCAAGTGACTCTTTGACATTAACAGAGAGTTTATGTTGTTTAAGCTCAGGTTGAGAAGCAGGAAATGAATCTTATTTAGATACGTCAAATAAGCGTCTTTGGAGGAGCTATTTCCCTACCAATGGCAATATGATGTATAGCTTGCGTGGTATGCAAGAGACTTCAGGAAAAAAGATTAAGACGACAAACACGGATCCCTGCGATTATAACATACACATCATGAGGATCAAAATTCATGCTGATTGCAATTCCGACATCGTTTGCTTAATTGATGATGTCCTCAGCGTGCTTCTCCGTGAGACTTCTGAGCACCGTCGGAAAGGACGAGGTCGACTTCTTGATCGAGGACATCGAGAATATGCTCGGGAGGGAACACCGGCTTCCAGCCAATTTTGAGGCCATTTCTTGCTTCCAAAAGACATCTGTGGGAAAAGGAGTTACTCTTGTTGCCTTTGGCCCGGGAAGGGATTCACATACTCGCCACCAATTTGGACCGCGACCATTTCTTTCGGTGAGTCAAGCGCGCCAGCCATAGCACCTAGAATGTCATCGTTGGCCGGATGGACAGCACTGTCCTCGAGGAGGCCTCTTTTGAAAAGTGCCGTGGCAATGGATTCGTAAACGTCTTTCCATCTAACCCGACCGCTCGACGGGAGGTAGTAACCATTTCGACCGTGGGGGATATCCTCAGATGACAGTATCTTCCGCAGTATCTCGACGTACAACATGGTGTTGTCAAGCAAATGGCAGACCGGCCAAGCCTGTCACCGGGAGATTAGTTCTGGATGTCATTGCGTGGGAGATTACTCACCCAATCGTCTCGTTCATTCGGATTGTACACTCTCCTAGTTGCTCTGGCTGCTCTCACGATAGCAGCTGTTTGGATCGACACCTTGTTCCCGAATCCTTCTCCTTTACCATCTGTGCTGATGGTCAGTTCCTGGCTCTGCAAGCTAAGGCGTAATCACTTACAAACCACGCAGGGGGAGAATATGTAACTTTTCACACCGAGAGATTCGCTCAGCTCTATAATTCGATTGTTTGTTTCCACGCCCTAAGACGTGGTGAGATTGAGAACAGCTGATGGACTCTCAGACTAACCTGTTGCATGATCGGGAGCGAGGACCGCTGAGACTTCTGAATCTCGTATAAGTTGGGGTCATCGTCGAAAAGGAGATGATCAATTGGAGCTCCAGCATGGTTCGAGAACGCCTTCGCTCCACTGGTCTGGATCTCGCAATAAGAGTCAGCAGCTGGGAAATAAAATACCCAAGGAGGAGAACTTGCATGAAGAAAATGCACATCCTGTCCAGTCGTCTTGCGCAGTTCCGCCAACGCCTTGATAAAGGACTCCTGACTGTTCGAGCTGATTGCATCGACCAGAAAGAAGACGACATTTATTCTGTTTTGCAAGATGATATCGCGCACACTGGTTTCGTCCCGCATATCAAACTGCAGGGGTTCAGCGGAGTACTGCTTCACTGCCTCGGCCTGGGCGTCTGATCGCACGAATGAAAACAGTTTGTGGTATTTGGGGAGGTCTGCGCTTTCTAACTGGTTCAAGAGCGTGCCTCCCAGGTAGCCTGAGCCACCGGTGATAAGAATGTTATACTCCATGACAGGAGATTATTGTCGGGCTGGTACAAGCACTGATTGTCGAGAGGTGGACAGGTGATGACTCGAAGATGTCTCCAAACTGAGGAATACGGGAGTGCGCGTGTGGTGAACTTATATTCTCAATGATAGAACGGAGTAATCACTGACGAAGGAGAGTCGAGGATTGGTAAAGATTGATAATCGACGCGAGTAGCATCGGAGACTTTCTATTCGTCCGCTTTTGTCAGTGCCGGCGCTATACTCGACCGAAGATTAATTAGAGTCACCATGACCATCACTAATATTCAACTGCGGCAATTTCATTTGTCATTCCGCTGAAAATATGGACTCCCATTATCGGGACCAAAGCGACTATGCTGGTGATATGCTCGAGAGAAAGGAGAGGGGGGATCGGGTGAACAAAAGATGTCTAGGTCAGCCACTCAATTGGATATGCATTATTAGGACGACCTTCAACTCTCCTCCTGAGCTGCTTTTCCTCCAGTTTGCTTCTCGCTAGAATTGCTAATTCTAGCATCAAACTCCCACGCCTCGCTCAACCCAACCTGGTCGAAGAAATCTTTGATCGTCTGACCCTCGCACGCTTCAAGGTCCGTTCCCGTGGCTTTCAGAGCACCATAGGACCGCTGCATTGCCAGCATCGCAGGAATAAACCCGGTACAAGGGTAGATCGCCGCCCGAAAGCCAAGCCGATTGCACTCTGATATATTCAAGTTGGGAGTGAGGCCCTGCATGCCATCTGTCAGCACACCGCTGTACATTCTCTCATTCGAGACTTTACATTTGGAAGGACATTGATCAGAACGGGCACATCTCCCATCTCCTTGACCAGGGTCCGACACTCGTCCTCGGTGCGCGGGGATTCCATAAAGACCATATCGGCCCCAGCAGTTACAGCAGCCTTGAGCCGCTTGATTCCCTCAAGGAAGGCCTCAGACCCGGCATTTGGACCGCCAAACTTCTTAGCTTGCCGCGCATCAGTCCGCGCGATGATGACAAAGTCCGGATCCTGGCGCGCCTCGACCGCGCTGCGAACGCGCTCAATGAAGACTTCCAGGTCCACGACGTCTTTGCCTTGGAGCTGGCCACACCGCTTGGGAAAGACCTGGTGTGGTTGCAGTCAATACGGACAACGTACATGAGATTGTGGGACCTGTCATACCTGTTCCTCAATGTGGAGGCCCGCAATTCCCGCGTGCTCGTACTGTCGCACGGTGCGAGAAATGTTGAGCGGTCCGCCGAAACCGGTGTCCGCATCGGCGATGATACGTAGCTCTGGCGACCATCCGCCCCAGCTGGAAGAACTCTGTCTGGGTCATGACAGACAGGTCTGGTTCGCCGCAGTACGAGCCTGTGGCACCGCTGCCGGCCAGGTACAGAAAGTCGAACCCGATCTGGCTTGCAACGCGTGTTGAGATCCCATCAAAGACCCCGGGTCTGATGAGGCATTTCCCTGGTATCCATGTTAGGGCCATTCGGCAAGGGACGGCATGGACATACCTTGCTTCAAGGCTTCCCGAAAACGCCTTGTTGATCTGTTATTTTGGATGCTACTCATCTTTCCTGAGTTTACGAGAGCATACCAGAGCTTACAATGGTCTGGAGGGAATATTCAATGGTGCAGAGGGCATTCACCCCGAAGACTGGAAAGGAAGAAGAGGAATGAAGTCATCGTGACGGAGGAACGGACACATCAGTATACTTGCACTGAGATGCTTAAATTTAGATTGCTGGTCGATAAAATGATATCAATTTCCTCTTTCAACCCGACTTCGTAGTTCCCATAGCTGCAGTACACGGCCGTGGCTGCGACATAATAAGATAGTGAAAGACCGAAGAAGAGCCATATGCAAAAAGCATACCGTCACATGCAATGATCTACTAGTTATCGAATCCGAACGTCGTCCCCCACGGCTGATATCCTTCTTCAAGGAATAGATCCTGCAGTGCCCGTCTGCGGATCCCCACATTCCCTCCGTCAAAAATAGGCAGAACAAGCGCAGTAGCGAGGAGGGAAGCAAATGGCGTTTCAAGGTTATATGCCGACCTTCAAGCAGCGTTAGTCTGTGCAGACGAGATCAAGATTGAAATACGTACACTCCCACCGCATTGATCGCGTCTAGACACGACTGCACCGCTGCATCGGAGCAATGTACCTTGGCCAGGAGTGCATGCTCCCGGCGCTGCGCATGCTCACCAGGACCCTGGGTCAAACAGTGCGCTGCTTTCCATGTCAGATACCGCGATGTCTCTGTCCGCATTTTGATGTTGATCAGGAGGTCCGCGACGGACTGACGTTGGGCGATGGGGACGGTGCCACCGCGTGTATCATGAGAGAAGGCCAGGGCCGCATCGAATACGGCTCGTTGGATCCCGACACCCATTGCTCCTACGAGCATTGCTGTGGATGTCAGCTGGCTCTCTCCTGAGGTGGACAATACGAACCCGAGATCTCAAAGGAGTGTAGCACGATGGGAGCACCGGTGCCTGGCGCGCAGAGCACGTTTTCGACTGGGACTCGGAGGTTCGTGTACTTTCTCTTCAGCGCCATTCGCAATGTAGAGGAAAGAACCAAACCTACCTTGATATGGGGCCCTGAGGTAGCTTTGTGCCCCGCCGTCTCGACATGTTTGAGGACCTGGAAGCAGTCCGATCCGTTTCTCTGGATATCCTGCCGTGTAACCAGCAGAATCATGATGAGGTCCTGAGGACAGGCAGCCCGCGCAACCACGTCCTCATCGACGCATCGACACACCACGCAACTCAGATCGGCGCCTCGAAAGTCCCAGCCTGCGGAGTTGGTCGCCCATATCTTTTCACCGTTCAGAACCCACTCATCTCCCTCCCGGCGTGCTGTTGTTTGCAATCCAGGCGCTCCAGGTTCCAGCCAATTCGCCTAAGACGTGATCAACATAATCATACAAGAGCCGAAAGGCGGAAAGCATACCACGCCGGCAGGCTCCGAAAACACCAACGAAGCAAGCGGTGCCCCCTCGTTTGCAAGGAAGGGATCCAAGAATTTCTGAATTGAAGGCCGATAAGCCAGCGCGACAGGAGTCAAGCCCAGTCCGGTTCCGAAAATGGTTAATGAAGCGGATGCCTCGACGGCGTAGAACTCCTCTACTAGGATCGCAGCCTCGACCAAATTAGTACTGCTGCCCCCGATCTGGGCCGGCACCTGGGCCTTGATAAGATTCGCCTTGACTGCGGCCGCATAGATAGGCCGGAGACTCTGAAATTGCTCTTCGGGGGTTGGGAGCTCAGAATATATTGCTTGAGCGCCGGCTAAGTGTGCAGCAGCAAAGCTGCGTGCTGCCGCTCTTGTTTGCTGTTCGGAGTTGGAGAGGGTGAAGTCGACCATGTTGTCGTGCGACGTTTAATGTAATCGTCTCCTGTTCGGAAAACGGAAAGCTCATGCCACGATAGATGCTTATTTATGTTGTATGAAACTGGACCATCCCCGCCAGCGCTGTCTGATATCTACCCCTCTTGCACTACCAGGCGACATGCAGCATTCTTCAAGATCACGTCAGATTTTAGCTTATAGTTTAACTGCAGAAGGGTGTGATAACAGGGATTCGTCCAAGTGCTGACTGAGAAACCTCTCTTTCGATGTCGATCTTTGTTAGACTCAGAGGATGTTGAAATGTTGCCAATCAGCATGTGCCATGAGAGGTGAGACACAGTTGCTGTCTGACATGTATAAATCGGACAAGATTGTATGATGTATGGATGGCGTCGACTGTAGTCAAGAACCACCTTATTCTCAATCATACCCTCAACGCTTTCACAAATTACTTATGCAGCCGTTCCGCAGGCAAAGACACAGTTTACCCAAGTTTTTCCTGCAGGATCTCAATGTAGTGGTACAACTACATGGCACATATTGAACAGAAACAAAAACCCCACCTACACTATACTATGACTGCCCCGCCATGGATATGTGGAGTTGTCAGCCGCATGAGGCAGCACACAATTGCTTTTTCATACATATTCAATTAATCATGAATCCATGATTTGAGAACCTTATTATTCGAATTCTTCGAGACCAACTCCCGTCATTAACATCCGTAGCTGGTCAGATTGCCGGCCTCAACACCGATTGGATTGCCCCGCACCGCATCAAAAATACTATCGCCGACTATGCCACAACAGTATGGAATACCCTAAACTAATCACTCAGACAACTAGTGCATGATTGACGATGGGCTAGGCGAGGGCTGAATGAGGGGACAACTCTTGCTGAGCAACGTACTTAAAGGCTCATCTTCCTGCCCGAGAATAGTTTCGCCCTTCCAGTCCATTCTACTACTCTATCAACGCATCAATCCATCATCATGTCTTTGGACTTTACGGTACTCGTTCTCACCCCTCAGTAGTTGTCCGCTAACAAGTTCAGACCTTCCACAATGTGATCAACAACGAGTTGACCGCCACCTCGCAAACCCGCCACGGCATCAACCCTGCAAACAAACAACCCAACCCCGAGGTTCCCGTTTCGACTCAACAAGATCTCGATCGCGCTGTTGATGCCGCTCGCCAAGCGTTCCGAAAATGGTCCAAGACCTCGTTCGACGAGCGTCGCACCGCCCTCAACGCCTTTGCCGACAAGATCGAAGCAAACAAGGACGCACTGGCTCGGCTCATGACGCAGGAACAAGGCAAGCCGCTCAGCCAGTCCACCGTCGAGGTCGGAATGGCCGTGCAGTGGGCTCGAACCATCCCCACTATCGAAATTCCCGAAACGGTCATCGAGGACACAGACGAACACAAGATCATCCAGCGGTACACCCCCATCGGCGTCTGCGGGGCCATCGTGCCGTGGAACTTCCCCGTCCTGCTGGCCGTCGGCAAGATCGTCCCCGCCGTGTACACAGGGAACACCGTGATCGTCAAACCCTCCCCGTTTACGCCGTACTGCGGTCTGAAGCTCGCCGAGCTGGCGGCGCAGTGCTTCCCGCCCGGTGTGGTGCAGGCATTGAGCGGAGGCGACGACCTCGGCCCTATGATCACGGAGCACCCGAGCATCGACAAGATCAGCTTCACCGGCTCAATACTTACGGGGAAGCGCGTCATGGCGAGTTGTGCGAAGACCCTGAAGCGGGTGACGCTGGAGCTGGGCGGGAACGACCCGGCCATCATCTGTGACGATGTCAATATCGATGCGGTCATTCCAAAGGTATGTACCTCGTTCGTAGCTGATGCACACTACTGACGGTCGCAGATTGGGATCCTCTCCTTCCTCTGCTCGAGCCAGATCTGCATGATGGTCAAGAGGCTGTACGTGCACGAGAAGATCTACGACGAGTTCCGGGAGAAGCTTGTGGCGTTTGTGGGATCGCTCAAGGTGGGCGACGGCACCGAGCCCGACGTCTTCTTCGGCCCCGTGCAGAACAGCATGCAGTACGATAAGGCCAAGGATCTTTGGCAGAGCCTGTCCACAGAAGGTCTCAAGACCGCCCTCGGCGGAACCATCCAGGACTCGGCGGGCTACTTCGTCCCCCCGACCATCGTCGATAACCCTCCCGAGTCGGCCCGGGTCGTGCAGGAAGAGCCGTTTGCACCGATCCTGCCGATGCTGAAGTGGTCGGATGAGGACGATGTCATTGCGCGGGCGAATGGCACCGACACGGGGCTGGGGGCATCAGTATGGAGCAAAGATATGACGCGCGCGCGTCGCATAGCCGATCAGCTCGAGTCGGGGAGCGTGTGGATCAACTCGCACTTTGACGTGTCGCCCAAGGCGCCGTTTGGAGGACACAAGACCAGCGGGATTGGCACGGAATGGGGACTGAATGGGTTGACGGCGTATTGTAACTCCCAGACCTTGTGGGTGAAGCCAAGTCTTTAGCCGTATGCAGTCATATCTTCAATGCTATCATGAACATTTCTCGATCAATCTTCATGACAATGCCTGACGTAGCTACTCCACCGGCCAGCGAGGCTGCACACGCTCCGTCAAGCCGGCCCGAGTTAGCAACCCGCGACTGCGTTGCTGTGCCTCGCGCACAACCTCTGCCTCGTCCATGGTCAACAGCTCCCCGTTCTGAACCAGTATCCGCGCATCCACCACCGGAGTCGACGGTGATGATGATTGTGCGGGTGTACAGCATCTCGAGAGACCTTTAGTCAATCACTGAACTTGAAAGTGACCCGAACAACATATTGACCGTATATATCTCTGGTTCCTCTCTACCGCTCCATCCATCGTGTTGATGAGCAGAGACCTCCAGCGCGGGCGCGAAGATGCGCGAGACGGACTGCCTCGATGTCAATTAAGTGATTATGTATAACGCTACCTACTTGTTGACATAATTCTGATGCCAGGTATAATCCCGATTCTCCAACAAAAACCCCCGAATCGCCTCCCGCGGTGTCGTGGGCTCCCGGCCCAGCACCTCCTTCATCAACGGATCAGTGTGGCTGATTTCCCCTTGCGCAATACTCCCATACCAGCTCACGAGCGCCTGGAAGAACTCGGCGGGCTTGCCTCCCTGGTCATTCTCTGCGCTCAAGCGCACATACTCCTCTGGAGAGACTATTTGAAATCGGACGTTCCGGCCCGTCGTCTCGTTGATCACGTCCACTGCCTCGGCGAAACTGATGGTCTCCCCTGCTGCGAGGAGGACGATCTCGTTCTCGTGCCCACCCTGGAGCATCAATCGGGCGTTTGCTTCGCCGAGCTCTTTTCGCAGAGTGAAAGCGCAGCGTCCGTCTGCGGGGAGGGACACGGTGGTGGTATCGGGATACCAGTTCATGAACAGTGGGAATGCATCAGCGTAGACTCCCTCGCGGATGGAGGTGAATGTGATTCCCGATCTGAGCTGGTTAGTGTACTGTACATTTCGAACGTCAGGGTCGTATCTTACTCTCTGAGTAAATCTTCCGTCTGGAGGTGGGCCTGCTGAATGGCCGCTTTGGAATCGGATTTCAGGCCCCCGAATGCGAGCGACGTGTACCACACCTATCAAGTTAGCAATTACATTGCCTGCGTTGATGCCACAGAACGTACATGTTTGACACCCGCTCTCTTGGCAGCCTCCACGAAATTCCGATGCTGCTTGATGCGCTTCTCATTGTCAAACACATTGGTACTGACAAAGAAGAGATTCTCGACACCCGGAAAGGCTGCGTCCAGCGTGCGCGGGTCATCATAGTCTACATGGCGAAAGGCAATTCCTCGTTCTTCGAATTGTTTTCGATTCGATTCCCTCGATGAGGCGGCTGCGTATTCTGACGAGGGACGGTTGGCTTCGAAGTAGGCGAGGACCTCTTTGCCGAGGCCGCCTGTGGCTCCGGTGATGAGATATTTGAGAGTCATGGTCGTCCTTATTCGTTGGTTGGCATAGGTAAAGGACTACTCGTGATTTACTCATGTTTGATGTGGGCATAGTTTTATAGTTGTTATTGCGAGATGATTTATAATCAACTCGGGGTGGAATGCGACATGGTGATTCGTAAGCAGCAGGGGTGCTGTGGATGTTGAAGCCAATGACGATGCACGACGGGCCAACTACCGGCCATATAGAATCGGATCGAATGGTAGCTAAGAAGGACTGTCCATAATAAGGTCATTTTACGTAAATAGTTGATGGCTGTATTCTCTTGTTGATGACACCGAATCTAACCAAACTCGTGATAATGTGGACCCAGCATTACTAGTGCACGAAAGCCAAAGGACGACATCTTCACAACTCTCCATTCAATTCAAATCTCTTCGTCACAGATGAGCTCCATCCCACGAACTTCTCGAATAGTATTCATCAGCCGAAACACATTCTTATTCAACGACCGGATCGCCTTTAGCAGCTCGCCCCTCTCTTGTCCCGACGATCCAGATCCAGCATTTTCCTTGGTAGGTGTTTCCTCTTCATCCTTGCACTCATACGCCTCCAGAGCATTCTTAATCCCAGCACATGCCCTCCGTCGCGCACCACCAGTGAGTTTCTGCGCCGCGGAGAGCGGACCGTAAAAGTGATTCGGAAGCGCACTGCATTCCGCACCGGCTCGGCTGCAGGAACGACACTTCCCGAGGGCAGTGTCGCGGTGGCAGATGGCCCAGTCGTCCTCGGTCCATTTCTTGACGCACCGGAGACAGGGCGAGTAGGTTGCGATCACGGATCCGGTGGAGATCAGTGGAGGAACTGTAGGAGCGGCGCGGTGAGCAGCTGGGGCTGGGACCGGGGCGGGAGCGGCCGAACGGGTGGATCTCGGAAGAGCTGGAGATGGTGGGTGACTGGGGATCTGGCTGAGCTGTTGTCATGTCAGAATGATCGGGGAGATCTTCTTGGTTGATGTACTTACCACAATGGGCTCATCCGAGTCGCTGTTTTCGGGCTTTGTGCGCCGGGGTCTCTTCCTGTCTGATCCTGCGGGACCACTAACCGCTGCGCGTCTCTTCGTGGACTGATCCGTCATGTTGGTTTAAATTCGGTATGGAAGACCTCTAAAGAGATAAAGCAGGCGTAACAGAAATATTTGGCAAGCCAGACAGTTTTGGACGAGGAATCTTTACTATTTATGCGGCCGTCGCAAAGACCGTCACTTCTCTATTCACGAATGGAAGCAACTATTGTCGGATGCATTAGATCAAACATCATTTGCTCTTCGATTTGGTGTCGTGATGCTTTTCCCTATTCAGCTCGATCCAACAATAGGATCCGTGGGCCGTCGTATTGATAACTCTGGCGGCATTCGACAGAACAAAGAAAACCACCGCGTAAAGCGTACAAAGAGCCGTCGACGCTGGACACACTCAGATATCCTTTGACATGTCGTGGAATTGGAAATTGATCCTAAATTAGATTTCTCATTCATCGCGTAAACTCTGCAGCGGAAACTTCAGGCAGCTGGCGGCCTCTCAGTGCCGATGTCGACAATGCAACGTTCAGCAGTAGGATTGGCCGCGCTAGATGCAAATAAATGTTTGTCAACTATTCTAAGCCACATGGAAGACATTGGACGTGCTCTTTTATCCCATTTTCCCATGCCTGGCCGCTCAAGTTTGCCCTCAAGGAATTTATGGCGCAACCACCGTGTGGGGAAAAGGATCCTGGGCTTAGAGGTGAACCAAGTCTCATTGATTGCCCGTAAAGAAACCGCCTTGTTCAGCGCGTCTGACGTCCGAACACTTTGCTAGTTGCGGTAGTAAAACCTGCGCGGGTGGTCAACGAGGCCATTCGAAGCTGGGGATCGGACCATTGGGTTGTGTGGTGAACACGGCCTGATTGATCGTGTTGTCTGATTCAGTAGGTGATTGCGTTCGCTATGTTCGTAGCTGAGTAGCGACGCGTCGTGTGATGCTGATACACTTGTCGTCGAGAGAATCGAATCCGCAAATTACCAGCAGAGACTCAATCGAGCATGACATACACTAATGCAGCTTCAGAAAGGTGTCCCAAGTAGCAACAGAGTAGAGAACGTGCCGTGCTATGCATATAGTGACAAGTAGAGCCAGGCTCATTGATATGCTCGGATCAAAGCATGTTTGCATCTGTTGTGGTGGACTGTCAATGTCCAACTGCTGGCAAGCCTAGTAATCACGTGGTTCTATGGGTGCCGGTACAGGCTCCGACACGATGAATGGAATTCTCCCGACACCCTTTGCTCGTCTGAATCAGTTTACAAGGGCTCGGTCTTATAGCTCTCTTCGAGGTTAATTGGACTGTTCTGGGTCTGCATAGTTCGTCTCCCAGTTTCCGACGTTCCTGAAGCTATTCGGAATCCTTTTCCGTCTCCGATGGCCAGTCCCTATGTCCTCACCCGAGCTCAATTTTAATGTACATCTCAAATACCCCATGGACAGTGGCGGTAGAAAACTGTGGAATTTCCAATCAATTTGGTCTTTATTATCGACCTGCGGAGAGGCTGCGTGCACTTCACAAACTGTCCGTATGATGCTGTCCATCGATGATGACTACATTCAGTCAGGAATTCTCTACGTACCACGGGGAACGAGTCGATGAAAATGTCTGTCTTTTATCAAATCATGCAAGACTGACACATGAATTTCCTCTCAGAGAACTATATACAAGGTCAAGTTTTTCCGGCAACCAATCTATCAATGCGGCTCATCATAAGATAACAAAAGAACTGAACCTATAAACATGTCCGCAGATACTCTCCCAACGCCATGATTGCCATCGCTTGTCCGTATGGCATCGCCGTCAGCGGAATATCCTTGTAGAACTGCAAGCAATCGCCCATTCCCGTGCCGAAGCTGGTATTCTGAAGCTCGCCCTGCTCGTCCACCGCGCTCATCACGGCCGCAATCGCTTTCTCTGCGACGGGACGATACTGCGCGCCGATGTACCGCTTGCGGACGGCTTTCAAGATACCATACGCAAACCCCGCGGTCGCGGACGCTTCGACGTACGAGTCCGGATGGTCAAGGAGAGTATGCCAGAAGCCCGTGTCGCTCGCCTGCAGCCGCTGCAGGGCCTCGCACTGGGCCTCGAGCGTGTCGATGAGGTGGACGCGGATCGGATCCGTTGGCTCGAGGTCAAGCAGCTCGATGATCTCGGGGATGACAATGGTGACCCAGCTGTTGCCACGGGCCCAGCGCGCGCGGGCAAAGTTGTGCCCTCCCTCCTCAAAAGTCCAGCCGTGGAACCAGAGTCCTGTTTGGGTGTCGAAGAGGTACTTGATGTGAACGAGAAACTGCCGCTTGGCCTCGGCAATGTACTCGGGACGGTTAAGGAGCTTGCCGATCTTGGCCAGCGGCAGGACAGTCATCATCAGCGTGTCGTCCCACAGCTGCTGGTAGTTCTCGGTCAGGTAGGTCGCGTGCTGCATGCCGCCGTATCGCGTACGAGGCAGCTCGTACATGGCCCATTCGGCCCAAGCATCCAGCCAGGGCAGGTAGGTCACGTTGCCCGTCTTCTCGTAGACGTACGCCAGTGTCAGGAAGACAGCCATGGTGTTGATGTTCTTGGTGGTGCCGCCCTCGGCAAACCGCGCAGCAAACCAGTCTTCAATAATGCGCAGGAGGGACTCATCGCCGGTCATCTCATAGTACTTCCAGATGCCGTACAGGCCGATACCATGCGTCCACTCCCATCCGTGCCAGGATTTGGTGTCAATGACCCGACCATCCTGTAGCCGCAGCAGGAACTTTCCTGTGGCGTCTTTGATGTTGACCAGGTTGTTGATAAGCTGCTTGACGGTCTGATGGACCTCGGTCTGCGAGGGTCTGTTGGAAGCCATTCTCGTTTATTTGTCTCTGCAGCAGCAGTGGTCAATCAGCAAGCGGTCTTTCTCTATTTACTTTCTCCAGGATATTAAAGGCTGACTCGCTGCATCTGGCTATAAATCCTGCGGGGTGGATCCGGCCACTGATGATACGCGGAAGAAATGGGGGGAATTCTCCGCATGGGACGCAGCAGCCTTCGGGCCATCGACGCACCGAAACCCAACGCCAAGCAGGAGCCAATTCGAATCGAGAAGCGACGTTATTGGCCGTGTCTAAAGCGGTTACGGACAGGAGCTGTTGAGTGGTTGACCAGGCCAGTGTTCTCGGGCCATTCCACCCCGCTTACCTCTCAGATCCAGTTATGTCCAGTCAGTTGTCCCATGGGGAGGCGTTGCCAAGAAAGCCGGGGAAAAGAGTCAAGCCAGCCAGGAAACCATGCGCACCGTCGATTTGTGTTGCGACCGGGGTAATGATCTCTCGAATTGGCTGTTTGTCTGAGACTCGACAAGCCTGAGCTGCTTTCTCTTGATAAAAAGGCCAGAGATCCCCCGTGTCTTACTTCTCGGTCGGACCTCTCCCCCTGTGCTGCCGTATCTGTTCGCACCGCTCTTAAGCTTTGGTTTCTTTTTTGATTGCCATATTTCACAAGCTCTGAATCCACCGTCATGGCAGAAAAACTTGCTTCAAGTCCGGTGGCTTCCAGCTCACCAGGAGCTGGAGATGACCCGAAGCACCCCAAGGACATCAACCATGTCGAACGGGTGTTGTCTGATGGGCTCATCAAGGACGAGGCTGACTACTCTCGGATGGACAAGGATCTCCAGGAGTATGTGGCTCGCGGACAGGTCAATGTCGATGAAGCAACCAGCAAGCGGTTGAAACGCATGATTGATCGCCGCGTGCTGATCATCATGATCTTCACCTATTTCCTCCAGGCTCTGGATAAGGGTACCTTGTCTTTTGCCTCTATCATGGGAATCCGTACCGATCTTCATCTACAGAATGGCCAGAAGGTGACTTTTTCTTCCCCTTTCTCACTAGAATATCTTATATGAGCGACGGATGCTAATGGCCATCGTTCTAGTACTCCTGGCTCACCACCTGTATCTACATCGCCGTCTTGATCGTCGAATACCCGACCAACTGGATTATCCAACGTGTTCCTATTGCCAAGTACCTGGGCATCAACATTTGTCTCTGGGGTACCGTGCTGGCTCTGCATGCCGTTAGCAAGAGCTTCACGCACATGGTCGTCCTGCGTACCCTGCTGGGTATCTTTGAGGCCTGCTGCCAGCCAACCTTCGTCTTGCTGTCCAGTATGTGGTACAAGAGAGAAGAGCAGGCGGCGACCGTGACCTACTGGTATGTCAATCTCACAACTATAACATGAATGCACCTGACAATCAGCAGGTACATGATGAACGGTGGTCAGCAGATCGTCGGCGGTCTGCTCGCATACTGCTTCAGTCTGATCGGCAAGGACAAAGCCATCCACTCGTGGCAGGCCCTGTTCATCACCTACGGCGTCATTTCCGTGATATGGGGTCTCTTCGTCATCTTCTGGATGCCCGACTCACCCATGCGCGCCAAGTGTTTCAACGAGGAGGACAAGCACCTGATGGTCGAGCGAGTCCGTGCCAACCAGACTGGTATGCAGAACAAGAAGTTCCGCGCCTACCAGATGTGGGAGGCCTTCCGCGACCCCCAGATGTACTGCTACTGCGCCATTCAGATCTTCACCACCCTGCCGACCAGCGGTCTCGGGGCGTTCGCCAACATCATCATCAGCGGCTTCAAGTTCACCGTGCTGCAGACCCAGCTCCTGGCCATGGTGCTTGGTTTCTATATCATTATCGTCCTCCTGAGCTCCGCCTGGCTGGTCAAGAAGACCGGACAGAACCTGCTTGTCATGCTGGCTTTTGTCATCCCGTGAGTTTCCCTTCTCTACTGCTAGCGTCCCATCCACTGAAACCATGACCTCCAGCTCCTACGTCGGAACCATCGTCCTCATGACCGTTGAGAACAAGAACATGGGCACCAAGGTCGGCCTGCTAATCAGCTACTACATCACCCTCTCCTTCTGGTCCGCCCAGACCCTCTGCCTCTCCATGGTCTCCCGCAACATCGCCGGCGCCACTAAGAAATCCACCGTCGTGGCAGCCACCTTTGTCTCCTGGGCCGTCGGCAACTCCATCGGTTAGTCCTCCCCTCCCAACCTAACCTATCCTCCTCACACAAAAGCAAACTCCAAACTGACATGAATCTCATTCAGGCCCCCAAGTCTTCCTTGACAGAGACGCCCCCCGCTACTTCATCGCCTTCGGCGTCCACCTCGGCTGCTACGTCTGCCTGACCATCGCCATCATCTTCCTGCGCTTCTGGCTCGTCCTCCAGAACAAGAGGAAGGCCCGTGTGCTGGAGGAGAGCGGCCTGTCCGCGGCGGATAACAACCTCACCCATGCCTTTGAGGACCGCACGGACCAGGAGAATTTGCATTTCCGGTATATCTACTAGGTGTGGTACTGGTTATGGTTATGATGGGCTTAATTTTATACATGCGGGATGTTATTGATTGGTAATAGCACAGCGTTTAATGTTCCCGGATGTGTTTCCTGTAGGGTAACCTTATACATTTGGACCCGCTCCACGGTCCTATCATACATTAAATGCGTGCTTGCTTTTTTGACGACCTGGAACTGGTCAGTGGTGTAGAGTATACATAGACTTGCAAGTACCAAAGGCAGTTGACACCCCGAGCTGCTCTCCAGTAGAGTGGAGAAGGCTAGGGAGTCTTTCACAACTTCCGTAATGACGTTTCTTCGCGACACGGCCAAGGCATTAGTTACTATTCAGTTCGTGAGAGATTCACACTGTCATATCTATTGAGTTACTATCCAGTTTCATGTGAATTAGCCAAATAATATCTGGTGTCTATTTATCAAGCAGGTATACAGCCGCGGCTTGACTGCCGCTTCGCACTGTTGAGATCATATTCCTTGACCAACACCTCTGCGCAGGTCATACCGATCATATACGCGGGAACCTGCAAGTGGGTGCTTAGGAGAACTGGCACAACGCTCATGTCCGCCACGCGCAGATTCTCGATGCCGAACAGGCGGAATCGACTGTCCACTGCCGCGTCCGCGTCACCGGGTCTGCCCATCTTGAATGTCCCCACAATGTGCCAGACAGAACCGACGGTGTTCTTCCAGAACTCGAAGAGGTCATCGTCGGATTCGGACGGCGGCACAACCATTGGGGCCACGGTGTCTCTCTGGAATGACTCGTGCTTGGTCACTTGGAGTGCGTCGCGAAGTATCTCGATACAAGCGCGGCGATCAAAGGGATGGGAAAGAAATTTGGGATCAAACAACAGCGGGTCGTCTGGGTTCGACGATTGCAGGCGGACTTCGCCGCTGGATTGCTCGTTCATGAGAATGCAGACATAGCTGTAGTCTTTAACAACACCGGGAAAGACGAGACGGACAGGGAAATGAGCCAAGAGCTCGTAGTGTGGCACCGTCTCCCACTTCAGGAAGTCTTGAACAGATAGTGGAAGCGCCCGAAGCTCTGCCGACGCAAGGAGATTGTCTGATTTGAAGAAGCCAGGTGCGATCTGACACGAGTAGCATGACCATGGCCCTGTTCCATCCTTCATCCACTGCGCCATGGCTCGGTCCATGGCGGCGTTGTCCCCGAAAAAGGCATTGCGATCATTCGTTTCTGTCTTCCGTTGGAAGCAGAGAGGAACATAAAGATGATCTTCAAGACCTTGGCCCACTGATGGCAGATGCTCAACAACTGATATCTGGAATTTCTCAAGTTGATCGGCAGGGCCGATCCCAGAATGCATCAAGATCTTCGGGGAACCAAGTGCGCCTGCGGCGAGGATGACTTCTTTGGAAGCGTGATCTGTACAGAGACACTTTTGTTAGTCAACACCTTAAGGCGCTGGAAGGTACAAGTTGGAAGACTTGCATAGTTTGCCATTGAATTTCACTCCGATCGCTTTCTTCCCGTCAAGGACAATCTCCTGCACTGGAGACTCTGTGATGACTGTTAGGTTCTCCGGCGCCGTGCCCAGCAGATCGGCTGCAGTGGTTCTCCTTCCTTTGTGGGCTGAATTGACCATCAGAACCATTCCGATCGGATTGCCCGAGTTTGAATCAGGATTACGAACAAGGCCTACCTGCTCGAAAACATCCAGCATCAACGGTAGGTCTTGCTCCCAAACTGAAGCAAAGCCTACTCGCAGAGCACCTTGGGATTCATGATCTGAAGATTTCGGACCAGCATATTTTGCGTTCTTCAGCTCCGAAATTGTGCTATCGAAAGTTTCCAGGCGTCGAAATCGCGGCTGCATGCGATCCCACTTATACAACTCGTCTCCCACAACGGTCGCCCACTCGTTGTAGTCGTCCCGAGGCCCCACGGTGAAGACGGAAAAGTTAATGGCAGTGCTACCGCCCAGTACTTTGCCTTGTGAGTAGTCTATTTGACGGCCGTTGCAGTTCTCCTGAGGTGCGGTCTTATATCCCCAGTTCACCTCCTTATTCAGGAAGGTGTTCCATCGCTGACCATCCACACGCAAGGATTTGTCATCACCCCGCATACCTGCTTCCAAAAGCAGGACTTGAGGATGGGTTGTCGAGCGAGCTAGATCGACCGCGAGAGCACAGCCGGCGGGGCCGCCTATGCCAGGTCAGCTTGAAGGAGACCGTACAGTACGCAGCCAAACAGGAGATATCAAGCCTGACCGCCGACAATGACAAAGTCCCAGATTGCCTCAGAGCCCATACTGTATGTTTAGGCAAAGGAACCCCGCCAAGCTATTCACCAAGGAGCGGTAAGCTGGCTTCGGTGACGCACAGATAAGAGCGCAGAGATTTGCAAAATGCACAAATTGAAAAGAGAAAGAGGGAATCCTAGAGCAACAAAGGGAGGAATGCCGGATTTTCACAATCCGAAGCGGTGGTAGGGGTAGCTATCAGGCGATCTGTGGTGTAGTTACAGCCTCTTAGCCCCCAGTCAGCCAACAGTTGTAATCAAGGCTAAGCGTCTCAAGTATGAAGTTGACAGAATACACAGTGACCGCGGACGAAAATTATTCTATGACCGGCTCATTGTTGGCGGGTGAATATGCCTCGACGCCGGAACTGAACTCCGTGGTTGGAGTTCGGAGCCCGCTGGTTTGTTGATGGTTGATTGTCGCAGAAAATTGCCCGCATTATGATGCCCTGAACGAAGTGCACCTCGTTCACGGTCTCATATCACATTTTCCCCGTAAATCCATGTTCCTCTGGCTCTGGCTGGAGGCTAGCAGGCGTATCCTCCTAGCGAGCTGGGTCTAGGACACAATTTACCAAGCTCCGACCAATTCCTCGCCGTTGATATTCGGGACGAACCGCCAAGATAGCTAGATACCATAGCTCCATAAAGCGAGAGAACGGACACATTCTGTCTCCAGAGCGTTGTAGCTCGCTAGGCGAGCTTCGTCAACACTGCGGCCAGGATATAGACATGAGAAGAAAAGATCGGTGAGGTGCAGGGACTGTTCTTGGATCAAGTGCGATTGAACAAACCGTTCTCAGTCTCCTTGTCTCCCTCCCATTGCCTTGTGACCCTCTCCGTTCCCGCCTCAATGGGTTCCCAGGAAGCGTATGCCATAACTAATGGTGAGAACTCGGCACTATTCCGCGACCGGTAAGACATCCTCGACAGCCACGATGATCATCCGGCCTGCAGACAGAAATCTGAAGCGCAATCTGCGCAGAAAACTCCAATATTCGGCATGATACTCTTTCCGTTAGAGGCAGAGGTATGCGAAAAGCTTATCTTCAAGCATAGCTTGTGCGGCCACGTCTGCCGTCGAGCATCGATCTTGCGACCTGGGTAGCCGTAGATGCATGGTACTTCTGATGTGAATTAAGTATCATAATTATCCACCAGTCATAATAAAAAACAGATCGTAAAATGAGAATACATTGCTCAGCCCTTCACTAAGTAACTGCGATGTCGTTTAGTATCAACATTAAGATATACTTAGGAGCTGAGAGACTGTTCGTACGGAGTCACCGTCACCGAACTAGGCAAAGAACCCGAGAAAAGTGGACACTTTCCCAAGTGGAGTTCCTCACCAATTCCGAGGCTTCCAGTTGAAGTTGAAGCAGCAGAGATCCAAATTTGTCCTCGCAGAGTCCAGGCGGTTGTCAGACAACCACTTTTCCCAAAACAGGTCATCGACGAAGAGATCCGTCCTTGCATCTCCTCGGAGGTCACATGACTCAAACCTCTACCTGGAAGTCTGCGTTAGTGGCAGCAGTCATGCTCTGAACATCTCGGGCGAATGGGGAATGCCTAATTCTCTGTCGACACTTCTGAACGTGGATCAAAAGTTTGCTACTGGCTTTTCAATCAATCAACAACCGCGTTTCTACAGCAAAATGACTTTTGACTCGGCCGGCTCGAGGGAACCGTGGACTGCTCAAAGGCCACAACCACAATATCCGGACCTCATACACTGGGCGCCCGCCACCACGGAACCGACCTGACAACCATAGGCATACCATACCAACGGAGGCAAATCAACGAGCAGCACAATTATGACGGAGGGAGCCCTTGGGCTCGCGTCTTCCAGCCGCCTGGTTCAATAGCGAGTTATTCGGGGTTCATTTCAACGATTCGCCGACCTCTATGTGGGTTTTTCGGCCTCAGGCGACATGAGGCATTCATCATACCGTATCGGGTTTAGTGCAGCCCTGCCTCTCATTCTTCCCCATAAGTTTTTGGGTCTCGATGGGAAATGATCGAATCGCCTCAAAGGGCGAGAAAAAATTGGCTCTCGAACCCCAGACCCCACGCGGCCCATGCGTTCGTTCCTTTCGACTTCCTTCTTTTCCTCGTCTCCTGAACTTCTCCATTCATTCTCTTGTGATTATTTATTTCCTTTCCCTCACCAGCCATTGTTTTTCTTGTTTTACATCCGCTCTTGATCGGTCTCTTCGGAGGAGGGGATCCCGCCGCCACCGCATTATCCCGTTATTCGGCAATTCAGAAAACCATCCCCGTGGCCAGGAAACCTAGGGCCTCGCAGCATTTATCCCTGGCGGCTCGGCTGGTTCGCAGTCTACTCCAGCATCGGTCACCGCAGGAGATGCAACTGCGAGCAGTGATTGTCTAAGCAAGGGCTTCAGCGACTTGGTTATGACAAACAGGAGATCTGCGAGATCCGATCTGAAGAGGGTGTGCTCTGGAAATACTATGGCGCTCTACCTGACGATTGCAGACCAACTTGTGATATCCGAAATTTTGGCAAAACAGCTTCTCTCGATATCGTCGCCTCATTTGCCGTGACTTTCTTAGGCGGGTCGTTTTCCTCGTCGCTCCTTCTCAGCAACCTGTCTTCCAACGCTCTTTACGAACACGTCACTCGTTTCACCATGTTGAACTCCATCACTGAGCTTCCTGAGGGTGTGGGGGCCAACCCTGAAATCCGCAGTCTGGCAATTCGGATCTTGGTGGTGGTGTTCAACTCGATCGCTCTTTACAATGCCGTTGAGCTCGTGATTCTCATTTTCCTTACGTTCAATCGCTACAGCGGCCTCTACTTTTGGAGTCTTTTACTGTCGGGTGTACTTGGGGTCATTCCCCATGCTATTGGTCACCTGCTGCAGTTCTTCCGTATTGGGCCCATTGGCCTCGCCATCTCCATTGCCACTATTGGTTTCTATTTCATGGTTCCCGGCCAGTCGTTTGTGTTGTACTCGCGACTTCATTTGGTGGTGCAGAATCAGAAACATCTTCGGCGCGTACTTTACCTTATCATCATCGACTCCATCGTCCTACTGATTCCAACGACCGTTCTCAACTATCTGACCGTCTACGTCGGCACTCAGCCCGTCATCAAAGGATACAATGTCGTGGAGCGCATGCAGATTTCCTGGTTCGCCGCCCAGGAAATGTTCATTTCTGGAATCTATATCGTGGAGACCATCAGGTTGCTTCGGCTGTGGCCGGACAAAGCATCGAGCCGAAACAAGCTCATGTATGAGTTGATTGCTATCAACCTTGTAATGGTGCTCTTGGACGTGGCTCTTTTGGTCTTGGAGTATCTCGGTCTCTACACACTCCAGGTGACCATTAAGGCGGCGGTCTACAGTGTCAAGCTCAAGCTCGAGTTTGGTGTGCTGAGGAAGCTTGTCTCTCTCGTCCATGCTCCTCCAGTCTCGAGTACCACCGACATCGACGAGTATCCCCCCTTTGTCGACCCGTCTCAAATCACTGGCGATGTTACACACGCAGCGCCGGTCAATCAACGGTCCTCTTCACGCCGCTGGGATGCAATCTCACTCGACAGCCTTGTTCGATCCGAGCGGAACAGTCGACACTTTGAACATACCGAACCTCCATGACACTGCACATGATATTATCAACTATTTGCAAATACGCACTAAATGTGCCTCAACCACCACGGGGTAGGACGGGTCCTTCTTTCAGTACATCCAGTTCTGGATTATGGGTGTTGGCCGCAGCCTGCAATTATTACTGGACCAGCCAGACTGAGATTCAAGCGGTCGCCTGCTCCCGGCCGACACCATCGGAACAAGCCTTGCCGTCGGTCTTGGCCATCGAGCTTGGCCTTGAGCTTGGCGTCATGTACGATCTCGGCAAGGACACGCCTGTACAACTGCACACCTCCAGCGACGCTTCCTCATCTTGTACTATCTATTGTACTTCCACTGCACTGTCTGGGGAAAGACTTTAAACACGACTGGGAAAGCATGCCCTTGGCACATCATGTACATTGCATCGGAGATGTATCTTACTGTATATTATGACCACCTTTGTAGATATGAGTCTAATATGAGTATATGAGTCCTATATCCATAATCCATGAAGAGGTCATCCCTGTAGTCAACCTACGGTAGAGCCGCGATTCACCTGTGCACACGCCACACCGGTGGCACTCCGTAGCCACCACATCTACACACCCTGTCAGTACCTAGACAAAACCTCCGACCAACCTACATCAACCATGCAGCAAGTCTACACCCACGAAGGCCCCTACGAGTCAATCCCTTCGACCGCATCGCCAGGCCTCCAGTTCCTCAGACACTTCCTCCCAGCACTGGACTCTCTCGATCCAACCACAAACCCCGTCTCCCCCTTCATCCACCCCGACGCCCGAGTCTTCGTCGGCAGCGGGCCCCCCAACAGAGGCACAGACGTAGTCGGCCTCCTAAACGTCCGCCAGCGACATATTCAGCACTTTCACCACGAGGTACACAAGGCGTGGGATATCGGGAACGGTACCGGTCCCCGGACGGTGATGTTCGAGGCGACGAGCGGTACCGTCTTCCGTAATGACCCGGATGAGTTCGAGGTGCGGGTGAGGGAGTTCAACATCCTCGAGCTGGAGAGGGCAGGCTCTCAGTCTGGCACCGACGGCGAGGACGACGGTAAGGGGGGTTTTGTCGCGGTCGAGATGCGGACATACATGGATGCTCGGCCGGTGCAGGACCAAGCGGCGCGGTTGCAGCGCGAGTCGGCGTATGGGGAGGCGAAGTCAACGGGGTGATTTGGCGTTCAGTATTCGAGATCGACCAAGGCTAGTCTAGTGGCTGGGAGACTGTGGCTTAACAATGATGGTATCATCAATATTTGGCGCTGTTTATCAGTCCCAGATTTCCAGTGTTTGATAGCCGTTAGTACGTCCGAGCAGCTCCGTCGGGATACATGATGTCATCCATAAGAAAGTTTGCCGCACTGGCGAATCGATGATGTATACTGGTTCTTAG